ACAAGTTTTAATTAAGTTGTACCATGAAGATCAATACTCATTGTGTATTCATTGCAATTTACAACAAGCATATATACTGTTCAGAACAATTTAATTACTGTAATTGTAGCACAGAAGATACTAAGTGACTGTGCTCCATCACTACCAATCCCCTTTTTAATAAATTTCGTAATGAAATTGGGAAATGAACTTCTGAAATTCACACTTGTATATACCCTATGTCCAAACTTCTGCTTTTTACACAGCTAGCTTTTTACCTTTTTATGTTTCTATTTTTTTAATGTGACGAGTAGGGGAAATGAAGGTATTAAAAACTTCAGTGGCAGGGTGCTTTTACATGTATGCCATCATGAATTTTGAGAAAGTATTAGGGCATAAATAAGAACACCTATAATAATTATATGGGTTAGAAGAAAAATAGGGATGTTGTGTAGTTATACTACTCTTTCTTTATTCCCTAAATAATACTACAATTATTTCCATAAATATGGGGCAATATTTGGGTTTCTAAGAAAAGCCTGCAAGTAGGCTGACTTCCATTAATGAAGATCGTGCCGTTGACATACTGTGCAATGAATTGCGGAAGTAAAGGTTTTCTGGTACCATCAGAGGTATGGAATAGGGCTTGTTGACTTTGGCTAGTAAAATTTGGGCCACGTAAGTTTTTCCTGGGAGACCGTGCTGAGCATGGCAGGATATTTTAGCCGCATGCCTGGCTACTTCTCACTAAATACCAGTAAATACTTCCCTAGCCCTCCAGTTTTTACAATAAGAAACGTCTCTAGATATTATCAGATGTCCATGTTGAGAACCACGGAGGTATGCTGATTCAGCCACACCCTCCTCATCTGCCCACTGACCAGATGATCCACTTACAAGGCAAACGGCTATTCAGCTGTTCTGAGCTCAGACGGAGCTCACAGGCCAGACTCCAACGCCGTATTCTTTCAGGGGACAGCCCAGTTCTGTGCTTTCAACTCTTTAGAGATAAGAATCGGGTGCAGATAAAATATTCAGTAATAGTAACTCACTCCGATTTAGAAAAAGGAGGGTAGGAGATGGCTGCCTGATAAAGGTAGTTTGTAAAAGATGTTTTGAAGGGCACAGGGAGAGTTAGGAATCAGCAAGGGAGAAGGGCATTTAGAGACAGCTAAAGCAGCTTGTTCAAAGCCTAGAGGAAAAAGAAAGATACAGTATAACATTTTCATGTGAATTTTAGTTATGTTCTTGGAGCCATAGCACCCTAATTTATTCTATATTATATGAACAAAATTATAATATAGAAATCTACAAGTAATTACCTAAAACACAGAATTTTACTTTTTTACTCAGTTTCCAATTTAGCAGTGATCTATGTAAATATCTTCGTTGCTTTGAGAAATTTATGAAATAGTTGGTTTCCAGAAGGCAAACAATTTTAGAAGGTAGTGGGACGTGCCATGTATGTATTTCCTATAAGCCTCCTGATCTGTTTATCTGAAGAAAGCCTTTTGACAATAACACCAAGTTCAGATTACTGCTGTGGTTTTTCTCAATATATGCCAATATTGAAATCTTCCAGTAAGTTGTCAGAGCAGCCAAGTAGTTTGAGGGCATTCATTTAGTTCTACACATACATCGTGTAGCCAAAAAACTGTAAGAATCGTCCTTTAAAGTGAAGTTAATTCAAGTGAGGCTAACTAAGGTTTGAAAAGATATCGGACATTCTGCTGGTGATAATATTTCCAAGCCACGCATTGTTCAGAGGTCAGGAAGGAATGCTGTGTTTCTCATGGCAGGCTGGTTATGAATTCCTAGAATTCCTACGCACATCAGGTTGCCACCGCAGGATTCGGGTCAGTTGGGTGGCCATCATCGAACACCCTTAGCGCTCTGACTTGTTCCACTCGGTCTAATCTGTCCAGATAGGCTGCTGCTCAGTTTCCAAGGTGAGTCAAACAAATCATTAAGATGAATAAACATAATGATTTAGGTTCGGCACTCCCTGGGTATTTAGTCATGTCTAGACACAGCCCTCGTGTCCCAGAAAAACTAAAATGAGGACAAGGACATTTACATTTCATGTGACCCTATTCCCATGAAAACTAGAAAAGCCAACAATAGAGTAAAACGAAGAGCGTGGATCTGACTCAAAAATGAGAGAAGCGTGACTGGCAGGATGTGCAGTCACTGGGTAGTAGAGCAGTGTGGGTTTGTTTGCCTGACTGTGATATTTTAAATGCTGGCTTGTCACTTAGATCATCATTCCACTAAGAAGTTAATAATTTCACAGATTACTTATTATTCCATAAAGCCAATATGCTGTGAGGAAGCTAAAGATGATACAAATATTAGATGACATGCGTTTCTTTGTAGTTAAAGAGCTCAGAAATTAGGGAGAGAAATGAAGAAATACATAGACAACTTTCATGTGTGTGTGTTTCAGCATATATTTGTATCATCTGCAACTCTAAAGTTAATTGATTGATTGATTTTAGATTTTTGCCATAGGGTGCATGCAGCACCACAGAGACAGTGAGAAGAAAAATGAGAAATCACTCCCCAAGGAGAATGGTCATGCCCCAATCCCTTGTCCTTCATTCTCCTCTTGGGATTTTGAGCAAGCACACACATGGCATGACTTTCATGTCCGGGACTCAAACCACTGTTAGTCATGTGGGAGTCCAGCACTTAACCACTACACAACCTGCTGGTCCCATTAAGTTGACTTATTTTAATGTTCCTAGTATTATTATAGGCTTTTAACTTGGTTTATAAGCTATATATCTATCTACAGATGCAGTTTTGTCTCATTAATTTGTGCTAATATGGACTAAAATGGTGGATAATAAAGGTTAAATGTATGTAATTTCTATAACATGTAGAAAATGTCCATTTCAGTGATTCTGCTTTCTTTAGTCATACTAATTTTTACCTTATATTTTCTTATAAAGTCTTGCAGCATATTTCCCAATATTTCAGCTGTTACTTCTTTAGTACCCTAGGATTGTACTTGTAGATAGGGTATCCCTTTAGAATTACTGGCATTTCATGGAAGTGGCTCTTGACTGTATAGTTTATGGAAGCTTCGGTACTGCTGACCAGGGATAATTTAGGTGTTTCTCTTTTGGATCCATATGTCAGGCTCATTTGAAGTGATTCATTTGCAAGATGGGCCCGGTTGATCCATATGGGTTAAATATATTGGGTCATTGGAAATGTCACGACATATTTTTCTATACAAAAATCCTTTATGACTTTTAGGATGATCCAATAATAGGTTGGAATGATGATCTTTAAAGCACTTAAACTGGACAGTTCTCTTTTTTAAATTACTTTTTAAAAATTTACATTTAGTCACAGTACAGCTTTAAATTGTACAAAGTTGTTTTCCTAGCATGTGTACAGTGCAATCAGTCAAGTACGTTATCATCAACAGATAACTTCTATTTTTTTGTGTCTGATAAAGGCTTCTCTCTCCTTTTTTTTCTCCAATCCCCTCTTACCCTCCTCCTACCTTCTCCATATTGTCTTTACCATCCACAGTTGCCTTGCCTGCCACCATACCTTCCAATCTTTCAGGTTCTGCCATAGAGTACAGACATTTGGTATATATATTAAGGGGAGACATACAATGCCTGTCTTTCATAGTCTGGCTTGCTTCCCTTAATGTTAAATCTTCCACCATATTTGTCCACCTTGTATCAAGTGTCCTTGTCTCGTTCCTTTTTATGGCTGAGTAGTATTTCACAATATATAAATACCACAATTTTTTTTTTTTTGGAGAGGTTTTTTGCTGCAGGGTGTGTGCGCTCGCCAGACAGACAGAGAGAGACATAGAGACAGAAAGCAAGAAATCACCCCCCAGGGGGGATGGTCACGCCGCAATCCCTTCTCCTCCATTTTCCTCTCGGGATCTTGGGCATGCACGCACATGCACCTGGTGTGAGTTTTAAGCCACCGGGTCCGGGACATGAACCACGGTCGACGACGTGGGCGTCCAGCGACATAGCCATTACGCTAACTGCTGGTTCCCAATACCATAATTTTTCAAGCCATTCATCTGTTCTTGGACATTTGGGTTGATTTCATGTCTTAGCAATTCTGAATAACATTTCAATAAGCATGCATGTTTTTTAAAACTAGTTTGATTTTCTGAGGACAGTATATAAATATCGTGTGTGTGTGTGTGTGTGTGTGTGTGTGTGTGTGTATGTGTGTGTGAGAGAGTGAGAGAGAAAGAACTTCTGTTTCCATACTCATCTATGGCTTCCTTTTGTAATGCTAGTATTCAGACTTCCATCTTGAGAGTTTTCAAATATCAGGATTTCCTGACGAAATGCATCTGACACTTCTATAGGAAGTACATTTGAAATGATGGTTATATCTACCTAGAGGAATGCAGTGGACTCTGGGAATGCAGTGGACTCTTAACTGAAGCAACAGCCACAAGAATTGCTACAATTGCCTTGTCTTGGTTAAGGGTGTGTAGATTTATTTCTTAATTAAACTTGTAATTTGGATTACAGATTTCGGTTAATACCACGAAAAATGTTACAAGCTTGGGAATAGTTTATTGCTGCTTAATGTAAATTATTTGTTAATTGCCTCATAATAGCTTTCCAGAAAAAAATAAAATGTGCTTAGCTCGAATTTTATGGTTGCTACTTAATCCCAAAACCTAGAGTCTTTGACTAAAGCAGTATGAAAGGGCCTTTCATTTTGGGGGACAGTACATTTTTTTCTTTATTTTATTATGCTTTCTTTATTCTTATTTGGCAAAAAAATAAAAGCATTTTGGGTAATGGCTTGTTTGTATATTTTTGCTGTAATTGTTCTCCAGTGTTTATCACATACTCTCTTGCATCCCAATAATATTTTCTTTAAATCATGCTTCTTGTATTCATCAAATAAGAGGTTAATCTAATTTCAGTTTTGGAAACAATACACACTTCTAATAGCAATCAAAACAAGGATATAGTTACATATTTTGCTAAGTTTTTACGTTCTTTCTCTTTCAGTGAATTTATTGGATTCACGTACTGTCATGGGGGACCTGGGATGGATTGCTTTTCCAAAAAATGGGGTAAGTTTTTATAAAATTTTCTCTAAAATCTAAGCTACATGCATAGGCATCATATTGTATGTCATTCAAGAGGAAAATTCATTTGATGTATTTGTTGTTGGTGGGGTGAGAATATATGTGTGTGTGTGCTGGGTGGGTGGCAGGTACCTCAAATTAGCTTTGGCAGGGCCAAGGGAATAATCAAGGAGGAGTTTTACTGACTAAATAAGAAATACATTATTTTGGTCTGAATTTTACCAAAAAAAATGTGAAGATTCCTTCAACACTCAGAAAAATTTCAGATTAAAGCAATCAACAATTACGTGTGTGTGTCAGCACATGGCATGGTGGTTGGGGTGGCTTGTTCCCACACGGTGACTGCATGGTTTGAGTCTCAGACCCAGTGGTCTGAAAACCATTCCAGGCACACGTGAATATGCATCCAAACTCCCAAAAGGAGGAGAAATGGAAGAGAAAGGATTGCGGTGTGACCATCCCCCATAAGCGTTGCTTGGTCATTTTCTCTCTCTCTGTCTCTCTCTGGCCAGTGCATACACCCTCTATTAATTTTTAAAAATGTTTTTGCATCTAGAGATATAATGTTAAGAAATACTGTGAATAAATTTTAAGATATTATAAGCGGGACCAGCAGATGATGTAACGGCTATGTCGCTAGACTCCCACGTAGTCGACAGCAGTTCGAGTCCTGGACCAGGTGGCTTAGGGTGCATATGCGTGTGTACCCAAGATCCTGAGAAAAGAAGGGATTGTGATGTGGTCATCCCCCCGGGGAGTGATTTCTCGCTTTCTGTCTTTCTGTCTCTGTCTTTCTGGCGAGCGCACATACCCTATAGCAAAGACCTCTCTAGAAAAAAAAAAAATAGGTATTATTAGGTTGTCTAGAAAGCCATGATTTATTTTTCTGTTTTTCTAAGCAAAATGCATCAAGATTTTCCTAACAATGAAGAGAATATAAAGGTAAGAAAGGCAAGAAAAAAATTGCATTGCCTAGATACAGCCAGTGTCAACAGAATTGTCTTTCCATCCATTCCTCTTTTATCTTTGGTATACTCTTCCCTTTTTCCTTTCCTTTCACCACCCTCCCTATCTTTTCATTTCCTTTCCTCTGTTATCACCCCTATACTCATAAATGTCTGGCTAAAACCTATCTGTGAGACCACCCTACAAGTATATTTTGTACTCTACATTTTTTCACACACACAAGTGATTTATTGAATAAATATTTTAAAATGCCCTCTTTGAGAAGATGGCTGGTATCTTGCATTGAAATTAATTTTTTAGAATCCTGAGAAAATATGTGATACTCTCTTTCAATTGAGTTTTGTGTTTTTCTCCCATTTCTGTTCAACAGTTATTCTGAAAGTACATTGGAAGAGTTTATCTTGGGAGTATAACTATTATATTGTAGTTGCTCTTGCAATTAGAGATTTTTTGGGGGAAATTTTGTATATAATTTCTGTGTAAAACACCGTTGATTTTGTCATAAAAAATTACTCTGGATAAGGAATGCTTTTTTCTAATCATTCTAATAACTTCATGCTCCCCCCATTTATTATCATTATTATGTAGTGCTGAATTTGTTCAATTTTTAAAAATGATTGCTATCTTTTTCATAAATTTCCAAATGTCTTTATGAATATTTTTTTTCTCACATAGCTGTATGTTATGCTAATATTAGAGAAAGAATTTAATTCTAAAAAGTATGGCCTTTGTTCAAGTGTGAGAATACAAAATACAGACTATTTTGTATTATGTCACTCCATTGTAACAGTAAAGGAATTTTTAAATTATAGTTGAAAGAAGATGAATATTGTGAGTATATACCATTACAAAAAGAAATATATAACCTTTTACTCTATTCATACACTATACTATTTATGATTAGAGAAGCAATATAATTAGGTAATATATAGTTTATCAGAATAATGTCAACAAAAATCCTGGAGTAAGGATCTCCAGAAATTTTCTTCATAATAAAACTCATGGTGAGACTGGAAAAAAAAATAATCAGAGTCAACATTTTTAGAACTCTGAAAATCAACCAAAATCTTTACGTAATCTGTTTATTAGAACATTTATTACTCTATTTATGAAAACATTTATTTTTAAAAATGACTTGATCTTGTAGTATATCAAGATTTTCGGCATTAAAATTTTTTTTGGCTAGACAGTACATGCACTTGCCACAAAGAGAATGAGAGGGAAAAGGAGAAGATACCCCTCCTGATGAATGGTCACGCCAATCCCTTCTTTTCTCACTTCTTTCAGGATTTGGGACATACATACACATGTGCCCAGTATGTTTTTTAAGCTTCCAGGTCTGGGACTCAAACCATGTATTTGGCTATGTGGGGTCCAGCTATCTGAACCACCAGGTTTATGCCATTTTTACTTATACCATGTTTATCTCTCTGCCTCTTCAACTCTGAGGTAATTTTGAAAAGCCAAAAAAATCTGCCATCATAGTGAAAATCAGTAATTTGGTGAATACTGGAGAGAGCAAAATGAGTAGAGGATTCTTCAAAGCCTCAGTTGTAGAAAATTGTCATCATTTCACCTGCTAGCTCTCTCCAAGACTAGGTCTTAAGACTGTCTTGATATGAACTGTCTTAAAGCTCTCCCAGTCTAAAAGACTCCCCTCTCCCAAGTTATCATTTATCAAAAATAGAGGCAATTGCCTAATTTTTCTTCCATCTGAGGGAGTGGATAAAATGTGGGACAAATAATAGGCTAGCTAACCAAAACATTTAAAAAGAAACACTGAAAAATGTAAAGTACATGAAGGTTTTTTAAAGAGATGTTTGCTATAGGGTGCATGCACTTGTGACAGAAACAGAGAGAGAGAGAAAATGAGAAATTACCCCCTCAGGGGGATGACCCTGCCTCAATCCCTTCTCCTCCATTTTCCTCTCAGGCTTTTGGGCACATCTGCACATGTGCCTGGTTTGAGTTTCAAGCTGCCGGTCCAGGATTCAAAAGACCAAGAGCCATGTGGGAGTCCAGCGCCTTAAACACTATGCAGCTTGTTAGTCCCATATGAAAGATTTAAAATACTCCAACATATTTTTGAGGATCTAGAAGGCTGTGCAGATATGTGGGATTTGTACATCCCCAAGAATATATGCATGCTCAAAAAAGACCTGAGGGAAACCTCACTTTCAGAATAATGTCAACAAAAATCCTGGAGTAAGGATCTCCAGAAATTTTCTTCATAATAAAACTCATGGTGAGACTGGAAAAAAAAATAATCAGAGTCAACATTTTTAGAACTCTGAAAATCAACCAAAATCTTTACGTAATCTGTTTATTAGAACATTTATTACTCTATTTATGAAAACATTTATTTTTAAAAATGACTTGATCTTGTAGTATATCAAGATTTTCGGCATTAAAATTTTTTTTGGCTAGACAGTACATGCACTTGCCACAAAGAGAATGAGAGGGAAAAGGAGAAGATACCCCTCCTGATGAATGGTCACGCCAATCCCTTCTTTTCTCACTTCTTTCAGGATTTGGGACATACATACACATGTGCCCAGTATGTTTTTTAAGCTTCCAGGTCTGGGACTCAAACCATGTATTTGGCTATGTGGGGTCCAGCTATCTGAACCACCAGGTTTATGCCATTTTTACTTATACCATGTTTATCTCTCTGCCTCTTCAACTCTGAGGTAATTTTGAAAAGCCAAAAAAATCTGCCATCATAGTGAAAATCAGTAATTTGGTGAATACTGGAGAGAGCAAAATGAGTAGAGGATTCTTCAAAGCCTCAGTTGTAGAAAATTGTCATCATTTCACCTGCTAGCTCTCTCCAAGACTAGGTCTTAAGACTGTCTTGATATGAACTGTCTTAAAGCTCTCCCAGTCTAAAAGACTCCACTCTCCCAAGTTATCATTTATCAAAAATAGAGGCAATTGCCTAATTTTTCTTCCATCTGAGGGAGTGGATAAAATGTGGGACAAATAATAGGCTAGCTAACCAAAACATTTAAAAAGAAACACTGAAAAATGTAAAGTACATGAAGGTTTTTTAAAGAGATGTTTGCTATAGGGTGCATGCACTTGTGACAGAAACAGAGAGAGAGAGAAAATGAGAAATTACCCCCTCAGGGGGATGACCCTGCCTCAATCCCTTCTCCTCCATTTTCCTCTCAGGCTTTTGGGCACATCTGCACATGTGCCTGGTTTGAGTTTCAAGCTGCCGGTCCAGGATTCAAAAGACCAAGAGCCATGTGGGAGTCCAGCGCCTTAAACACTATGCAACTTGTTAGTCCCATATGAAAGATTTAAAATACTCCAACATATTTTTGAGGATCTAGAAGGCTGTGCAGATATGTGGGATTTGCACATCCCCAAGAATATATGCATGCTCAAAAAAGACCTGAGGGAAACCTCACTTTTCATGTCTGACTTACCTCGAGGCTCTGCACTAGCATAAAGTGGATGTGAAGGCATGCTTTTTAATTACTTAGTTGAATATTAAAGGAATATTTCAGCATGCACACAGAGTCTTTGAAAAGATGAGAACACTTACTGGTTTAAGATTTAAAAAAATAATAATAATCTGTCCAAACCCTAGCTGTCAGTCCTTTGATGACTTCACATTGCAGAGAATACAGAGTTTGCAGAATTGGTAAATTCTAAAGTGAGGGATTCAGTTCTTGTTATGGTTCTATATGATCTCCTCATCTAAATAGAATTCTTGGTTAAAACCAAATCAATCATTTTCAAAATTCTCCCTGGTATTGGAGAGTATTGCTCAGAATATTGCCTAGGACAGATCATACATTTATAAATTAAATTGAATTGCGCTTGTGAGAATTCAAAATTCTTTTACAAAATAAAAACAACAATTCTGTGAATATTTGATTGAACATACTACACTTTCTTCTCCCTTTTTCAGATTATTATTCTGATAAGTTATTAAACAGACAACAATAAACTTTGGCAAGTGGCAAGAGAATTTAATTTGCACAATTGCTACCTCACGAAATTTGATG